CGGTAGTGGTAGTGGCAGCGGCAGTGGCAGTGGCAGTAATAGTGGTGGTAGTATCAGTAGTAGTATTAGTAGTATTAGTAGTAGTAGTAGTAGTAGTAGTAGTAGTAGTAGTAGTTGTTGTAGTAGTAGTAGCAGTAGTAGTAGTAGTAGTAGTAGTAGTAGTGGTGGTAGTAGTAGTAGTAGTAGTAGTGGTGGTAGTAGTAGTACTACTAGTAGTAGGTAGTAGGTAGTAGTAAGTAGTAAGTGGTTAGTAGCTAGTAGCTAGTAGTTAGTAGCTAGTAGTTAGAAGTTAGCAGTTAGTAGTAGTAGTAGTAGTAGTAGTAGTAGGAGTAGTAGTAGTAGTAGTAGTAGTAGCAATCGTCGTCGTCGTCTTCGCCGTAGTCGTAGCACTCAAAGTGGTAACACTAGTCGCAACAGTGGTGGTCTCGTCGTAGTAGCAGCAGTAGTGGTAGTAGTACTAGTAGCAGTAGTAGTCGTAGTCGTAGTCGTAGTAGCAGCAGTAGCAGTAGCAGTAGCAGCGGTAGCAGCAGTGGTACCAGCAGTAGCAGCAGTGGTACCAGCAGTGACCGTAGCAGCAGCAGCAGCAGCAGCAGCAGCAGCAGCAGCAGCAGCAGCCGCAGCAGCAGCAGCAGCAGCAGCAGCAGCAGCAGCAGCAACAGCGGGCACAGCAGCAGTTGTTGTTGCAGCAGACTCGCAGAAAAGGCAAAACGTGTGATCAGAAGAGCACCTGTTGTTACTTGTGTGGTGACAAATGAGGATGATGATGATGAGGGGGAGAGGAGGATGTGGATGCTGAGGCCGCTGATGATCATTCTGTTGCTGTTCATTTCGCAACAACTGTCGGCGTGCGACTCAGCGCTGCCATGCACGAACTCTCTACAAAAACCCTGAACCTCTCACCGAGCGGCTGCAAGAACTGTCGCAGGATCATCACCGCAGAACTGCGCAAAGAGCGGGCGATCCTGGAAACAAGACTCTCGATTCACCCTAACATCGTATCAGAGCAGCGCAGGATGTTCTGTGAGGAGGGATTGGCACAATATCTGCATGCTAAACCTGCGTCCCAGGAAGTCCAAAACAAATTGAACTTCATGGCACTGTTAGCCTGTCCGGGCTTGCTACTGGACTCGCTACAAGACTAGTCCTACATTCTGAAAGTCCCGAGGACGACCCGGCTAAGACGTCATAATGTACGGCCTGAATAATTAGAATAAAAGTTTTGGGGCCCATTATACTATACTTACAAAAAGGAACACATTTAAAATCTAGGATTCTGAGCAGGCCTCCGGACAGGTTGAGAACTGCTCCTTCCGGTACTTGGGTTGTGTCGAGAACCTCAGGAGGCTTAGTCTTTCTTCTGCTCTACTGCCTGTGGAGTTGAGTGTATTGTGTGAGTTTGTTGAGAGATGTCAGCGGCTTTGTTCTACGTAGCCGCATTTGCAGGACGGTTCGCTGCAAGCAATTCTTATCCCCCCGTCACGAGCACAACATCACCTCTGCGCTAGGCATCAGCCCCAGGACAAGCTAAGTTCTTACAAAGTCTTACTCGCGCACATGATGTGGCGGTGCGAACTCTTGAGGGATCATGAGGTACCGAGCTCGGCGCATGCGCGAATGCCTTGGCTGAAGCATGCCGAGGAATAGGCATGAAGTACCGTCGGGACGTTCACGGAACAGAATCGCTGCACTTTCAGGCGAGAGTCAGCATCGGCGTGTAGCACAACTCTGTCCCGTACCTTCCGCACATCGCAATCAATCGTCGAAGAAACAAACGAGTAGGAGGTATTGCCCTGTGTGTCTGGTAGCAAAACAGCTAGCTAGCATGCCTTTGGCATACCTAAACTCTGGCATGCCTCACTCCGTATTCTTGTGCAAACTTATGCCTCATAAACAATCATGATGGACTTCGCTGTCTATCTATCGGTCAGCTCTCTATAGCTATATCTATGTCCCTTTTCTCTCTCTGTCTGTCTCTCTGTCTACCTATCCGCATCTACGCTCTGCATCAATTGATAAGCATCCAGTGACTCGGCTCTCTCTGCTGCGAGCACCGGCGGCAGAGCATGCGGAAGGCTAGTTCAGACCTCAGCGCAGCCAATGAACCACAAAAACACGCAGAAATAGAAGCACCACGTACCGCTTTCCTGCACAAATATACCAGCAGCGTTGTCAAACGATTGCAGGCCGGACAGCTCAAAGGCTCGAGTACTATCTGTTATATCTGGGATCGTGACTGGTCCACCATCGGAGCGCAGACGTACTTCGGGGAGCCGATGGATTTCCAGAAATCATAGCCGCGCAGCTTTTCCTCGGGGGGAACGGTTGGGTTGATGATGGATTCCGTGCTTGTGTGTCAATGCCACGGGTGTAGCCCGAGATTGATGCATTCAACCTCGTCCGAAGAATCTCGGCCTGCTTCTGACGGGGAGACTCATTTGGAGCGCTTACAACTGGTGTGGAGGACTGTCTCTCGTCCGAGTTCGAACGATGGTTGCTTGGACAGTTTGCTACTCTTCGGATTCCGAGCTCGACAGCAGGGATGCACATATTTTGCATCTCGCTCGTGAATGACAGAGAGTGGCTGTATACTGTATCCCAACACCTACATTTTTTGTTTCTGGAGCCAGAGGCAACTCCTGGAACATGTCTGAAACTATTGTCATTGACAAGAGCTTGGACTAGAACTGTGACATGTCTGCCACTCATTTGCTTCTCTCAGTTCTCGTTCTCGGTCGGATTTCGCGCGGTCGGATATCACGATGACGATGGGACGATGCTGACTCTTACGGTGCTGACCTTTCTCAACCAGGTGCCACAGGTGGCCGTTGCTGCGGCCGCTGCTATTGATCATGGAACCCTAACCCTAATTAAACCCTACCTATAGTCTCCATTGTAGTTCCTTTTTTTGGTTTAACCAATTCTACATTAAGGATCTTATAAGGTAACCCCAAAAAGGAACTACAATGGAGACTGTAGGTAAACCCTAAACCTACCGTGGCTGTCAGCCACCTTGAAGCCATGGCTCTCCAAGGCCCCCAGGAGCGGCGGGCTCAACGTCAGCACTCGCCATGGCCAAAGAAGAAAACAAACAAACGTCTATGGTGTTCCTTCACGGGGTTTAGGGTCTAGGGTACGGTTCCTTCGCATATTTTTCGGGTTGTAGATGCTACATAGATACTATAGCAGCATCTTGAAAGATCCGTGGAAAGACCAGCAGAAACGGAGGGCTGTCTCCAAATCAGCATCTGTGGCCTCAAAGCTACGAGAAATCTCGATTGGTGTGCAATAATGTCGATATGGCGACAGTTGCCCCGGCGGTCGGTCAAAAACTACTCGAAACGTCGCTTGCTATAATCATGCTCTCACAGGGGGCTTGAACCGTCAAGTTGTGCGGCATAGTCTCTCCGGCTGCAACTGCTCAGAATCTGCTGCGGCACACTTGCGGCCCACGTGCGCTTTTCCAATCTCGTCAAGACCGAGCTTCAAGGACAGAATCCAAAGTTGGGGCACCTTTCGGGATTCATTAACCATAACTGATTCCAATAAAGTTGGTGCCCGATTTGGAGAACTGCCGGCACCTTCAGTCTTGGATATTCACATGAATTTCACGCACGTGTCCACGACCAATCGTGGTAGGGTGCAAGGATTTCACGCACGTGCCCCGCCACGACCAATCACGGCGGCATGCAAACAAACAGTGGGGCCCAGCCCATTTCGACTTGACCTCTGTGCGAGACAGAACAAGGTGCCTGGTGGCCCACAAAAACGAACCAGCATGCGGGCCCTGTGACATTGGCATCTCACCGCGCAGTGCTGGGGTTCACAGCCAGAGTCTGTAGGACTTTAGCGAAGTTTTGTAAACTCTCGACATGTCTGTACAACTTGCTTAGGAAGCCATTCCTTGCTTCATTAGGGCGGAACGCTTCTTTTGAGACTTCATCATCTCGGTTTCCTCGTCCCCGTTCGGTTTCCAGAGACCCCGCGACAAAACCTCAACGCAGGCATCGTGCACCTTGGCAGCCGACTGCTGTTTCGTCTGTTTACTTTGCGTTGTATAGGGCCTATGACAGGTGGCTGACACTCACTTCTCCCCTATGCCGGCCTTCTTCCACCCATGGAAACGGCCCCGCTGGCTGAGTGTGCCCATGGCGTTTGGGAACGCATGATGGACATCATGGAACAACATCTCATTCCAGCGGTGCTTCCCCCCGACAGCCAGCGCCATGATGTTGTGCAGCTTTGGCCAGGTCCGAGCAGGGTCATTCTCCAAAAACTTGTTCCAAGGAAGCCTTAGTTGCTGAGTTCGGAAGTCCCAGAAAGTGTACACTTTCAGTTCTAAGTGGTATGGCATGATCCCAAAAAACGTAGAAATTGTATTCATTCAGCTACCAAGAGGCGAATGGGTAAAGTTTGTGATAAACATCCAGGCCAGCGAGAAGCCTACACGTGCTGCACATGTCACTGGAAGAACGAATCCTGGGCTTTGAAGTAACCAGGGAGAAAAAAGCATAGACTTTTATTTCATCATGGTTCCTTTGGAACAGGTCCCCCCAAAAAAGTATGAAAGTATGGTACTCCAAAGCCCAGAATCGCCAACCTTGGCTCAATGGCCTGCCCAAGGGCCAGGTTCCCAGAAGCCAAACACAGGCCCAGAGCCCAAGGACCACAGCGTTATGCTTCACACGTCGAGGCATCCACTTTGTCCAGAATTCCTTGTTGCATTTACCGCTAGCATCAGCTTCTGGGAAGCTCATCCACCACTCAAGGGCAAAGAGGAAGCCCGTGTCATTGAGTCCGAAGAAGTGAATCACCGGGATCCAGGGGACAGTCAACAAGTACTTGTACCAGTTTGGCCCCATGGGTCCTGCCCACTGCTGCAATGCATAGTGGAACTCTTCGGGGTCCCAGCCGAACTCCCCCTGGATGAGCAGGTCCACAGTGCTTGCATGATGACGGGCATGCTCCAGGACGAACTCTTCCCACGGCAAGGATATGAAGTCGCTGAAAGGATGCGTGATAAACCTGCGGTTTCTTGCTGTGTGAGAGTCTCTGTGAGAGATGCCATGATGCCCTTGATTTTACCGACGCTAGCCCAGATGTTTAGCTGAGAAAACACACTGGCATACGCAGCAAAGCATGCTGAAAGTGAAGCTGCGCGGCTTCTGGAACTCGTATACAGGAAACGTCACACCGTGCATTACCTGGAGGAGGCATAGCTCGGAAGCTTAGGGCAAAGAAGAAAGCTGAGCACAGTCAAGGACTGCAGCTAGTTGCGGCGGGATGGGAAAGATATGTTTGACACATGGCAGAATTCATGACCCTCAAATCTATCTTGGCTTCAATCGCATGTGTCTTGTGCATCTCTCGAACTGAGTTCTTTAGGAGCTCTTTGCAAGGCGAGAGCTGTCACATTCGCTTTGTCTTTCACACTCTCATGCACCAATCAATACACATAATAACGCTAATGACACGCAATGATGGGGTTCTTGTACACGTTAAGAATTGGTTTTTGCTCCACCGAGGCGAGCGTGCGACTCTCTCTACGCGGTGCGGCGCACAGATTGCGCCCATGTCTCATTGCTCACGTTCACACGTCCCGGCAGCAGAAGTGGGATTCATTGTGAATTCCAGTAAGTTGGTCTGAATCCCGCCAGTATAGGGGAGGAAACAATCTGGCTGTGGTGTTCGGTGGGTCTTTTGGCGGTCTGCCGGTGGTCTGTTGGTGGTGGTCTCCATGGTTCTCGTGTTCGCACCGTGATTTGCTGGTGCTCTATGATCTCTTGCATGGTCTCTTGGTGGTCGTGGTCGACCTGGTCAACCTGGTGCAGTGATCGCGGTGGTGGTCCCGTTCCCCTGGCCCTCCTGGGCCCAGATGCACATGCGCGAGTGCGCGCGGGGTTTTTGTGATGTATTTGCTATGTGGTCCTTCACGGTATGGGGATCTACGCTGGCATATTTACTTCACTTCTAGATACATGAATTATTTTACTTCAAACATCCCCACCCTCACGGTAGTCGGTGGGGTTGGGCACTCCAGGGACTCTCGCGGGAGTCTCACGCCAGTCTGTGGGGTTGGGCACTCCAGGAGGTAGTCTCAGAGGGCGAGGAATAATAGCTGACTTTGTAATCTAACAACCCCACACAACCAAATAGACTAAATAGACAAACAGACAAATAAATAGTAGTAGATGAACAAATACAAACAGGGATTGGTTCATTAATCAGCAAATTGGTAGATCGACGGATCGAGAGATCGATAGTATACACTGATGTACACGTACTGTTGCAACTCTGAACTTCGTTCCTCCTGACACTGTTGCGGTCCGAGGTGCGTCGTGGTCGATGTAGATCTGCTGAATGCAGATATATGCGAAGGGAACGGCGAAACAAAGCGTGCAAGTCCAGAAGCTCTCCGGAAAGGTTGCGAGAGCGGCACAATATGTAATAATCATCAAGCATTGCAGGCAGAAGATGAAGGTAAGAACCTCGTCACGGCCAACAAGGAAATCGACGTACACAAACTATTTACTGGCAGCTCGTCAAGCTGTCCTACTGAGTGCTTTGCGAACGGTTGAAACAAATATCGAACCGATGAGGACTCTCAACTGCACATGTTCGTGGTTTTTGTGCAAGGAGAAATACCAACATAAACAGTGTAACACCCAAAACGATGACATCGGATTGGCGACCGTCTAATGAGCACAGAGTTTGTCCAAAAGGCATTCCACATATAAATCATCTGCTCAGGGGTGATTTTTGTGAACAGGAAAGCCAGCTCCAGTGGCATCGGGTCCGGCTTGTTCCTTGGCCGCCAGGATCTGGGTGGTCAGCATGCACCCACACTCACGACTGTTGATCGCTACTGCGCCGCTCCACCACAACCACAACCACCAAAAACAACAACCAGCAAAAGCAACAACCACAAAAAAAACATCGACATCAACATCAACATCGACATCTGCATCGACATCGGCATGGACGTCGACATTAACATCACCATGAACACCAACAACATCTACAACTTCTCAAAGTTCAGTTACACAAACCATGCTTGATCAACGACGGTTCTTCCACGGAGACACCGTTCTCCCGCAGCGGTTCTTTTTGCGCCCATGATTCCTCTTGAGATGCCGGCCGGAAGTCGCATCTTACTCACCCCATTCGTCGCTTCGTAAAGCCCCGCACTTGACATGCATCTCCGAGCAGTTCATCGCTGGAACGGCTGTGGCACTGCGGTGCTTCGGCTTGAGCTGATCCCGAAGCACAGCGGCTGAATGCGAATGGCCTTTGCGAGTAGGCAGTCTAATGTTAGACAAAGCCATTGTTGCGGTAGCTCGCATGCAGTCGATGTCAAAACCATGGCCCTACGCATCTGATGCTGGAACCGGCGGCTTTCACTCCTTGACCCTCAGCTGCAGCAGACAATCCTTGAAATTGATAGGTCAAACCTCTTCCCACAAGCCATCCTCGAGCATGCATTATCCAAACCCGCAGCTCGGAAAAAAAAAAACATCTTTCGGAAGTGCATATTGCAGGTTGCGCGTCCTGCACTTCTGTCCACAGCTGCCTGCAAGTTACTCACGGGTCTGGGTCGCCAATACGGGATCTTGGTGTTGACCTTCATGGCACGCGGTTGTCCAGTCAAGCCGCAGCTGGCATAATTTCTTGGCGGCATCTTCGCATTTGGTGGATGATTCGTCACTGGTTGCCGGCCATCTAACCTGTTTGCCCCCGCGAGCCCTGCTGCCTCTCTGCCCGAATGCCCTCGCTGCGGTGCTGCGGCCATAATGCCATAGTCGTCTCGCATGCATGCATTGCCCGAGGTTACCAAGTGAAGGTTTGAGGCCCAACTTTGCATGTGGGACTGGAATGTTGCTCGACAAAAGCGGGTCATGCTCTGAGGTCGCTTCAAAGGCTACCTGTGTGGGATACTGCGCGCAGGAGCTTCTCAGCAAGGTGCGCTATCAGCATTCGCTGGAGGCGGCAAAAGATGACGAAGAACGAGTTAATCAGTGGCTTCAGGATTTCTTCTGCCGAACTTCTGATCAAACCGACTACTGACAGACAAGGAGCTTGCTGCACCGACCCGTCGGACCTCACCGCGGAAGTACCACGTAGCTGGCTTGCAACAATGCTCAATGAGACTACAGAAGACAGACTGCAGATTTAAGGCGGCGTTGCAGGAGTTTGTGTGAACTCGAAAGGCAAGCTTTCATTCAGGACGAACTCTGTCCATGAACAGTGCAGGTGAGCAGCGTCCCAGCAAGGAGCCTTCCCCCGAGCAACTTTCCCTGATAATGTCGGAGGAATCTGTCACAGAACGTCGTTCTGTGCATGTGGCAGTTGGGCAGAAGAGGCCACTATTGCAGGCATTCATCGGGGCATTGAGAACTCTCCGGATTCAGATGGGTCTTTCGGCCAAGCCCGCCTCCAAAAAGGCCATGTTGGGATCGGGGGTATGTTTCGCGAGCACTTATCCGTCCTTTGTTTTGTGGCTATGTGGTGTGATGATATCCAGCTAAACCGTCAGCCCACTGGGCAACTTAGGGCTCAAGCTGAGCACCAGCCCCAGCCCCAGCCCCAGTGCCAGCGCCGGCGCCGGCGCCGGCGCCAGCACCAGCGCCAGCACCAGCACTAGCAGCAACAACGACAATAGCACCGGCACCAGCAGCAGCAGCACCACCACCNNAACAACAACAACAACAACGACAGCACGGGATTCTCCCAAATCTTTCAAGGCTGGGCAAAGACAACACTTCGCGCCGGCGGTCAAGATTGAGCATGACGGCATTGTTCGGCTTCCACGGCACAATATGGTGAACTTCAGCTCTGCTCTTGTTTTGAGCTCACCAAGAAGTAGTCAATCCTGGAGCCCACGGAGATGGTAGGACCCTCGGCCACCACAAAGTCACCTTGACACGCTCGGTCCAATTGCAAGTCACGCAACTCCTCAGTACTGTGGTTCCAATCAGCACCAACCACCAAGCAGCATTAGTGCATCTGAGAAGGGACATCAACTCAGTGATAGTGTCCCGATTGGTCCCCGCCAAGAGGCTTTCATCAAACTTGATATACAAGGACACAACAACGACAGTAACCTCCTGGAAGCACACCCAAAAGCTTGAAAACAAAACCGTCATCCCAAACCACTTGTCGCGCACCATCTTTCATCCCCAATGCTGGCGATCGTGCTTCCATGCCTTCCTCGCGAAACTGCTGCCCATCCACCCGTCACAACTACAAGTAGAAACAGTACAGTTTCGAGTCCCCGGAGCAAGCGATGTAGCCATGTGGCCCTGCTGGTCACTGTTGTGGTGGATGTGCCCCCAACTCCAGGGCCTTCCACATCTGCAGCTGACCAACTTGGCCGCCGGGTGTGCCCAGACCCAACTGTCGCAAAAGGCACAAGAAATCCAAGCATGGGGCTGCATTGCTTGTTCACTAGCTTCAGACGACTCGGGCCCAAACTCTCTAACAACAGCAACAGCAACAGCAACAGCAACAGCAACAGCAACAGCAACAGCAACAGCAACAGCAACAGCAACAGCAACAGCAACAGCAACAGCAACAGCAACAGCAACAGCAACAACGACAGCAGCAGCAG